CAGGACGTTAGCCTCTGAGGTGGACTGGACTAACAGTGGTCTGATGGCTGCTTTTTCTGAGGGTTTGGCTGAGAATATACAGGATGAGACCACTGCTAGAGACATTCCAGTCAATCTTAATGATTATATAACCTACATGATTGACATTGACAATAGACTCAGGGAGAGAGAGAGGAACAAACAGCGTACAAGACATACCAACTTATCTATAGCCTCTCGTTTTTCCAACCCAGTGGTAGTCAAGCCTGTTCCACTTCCAGAGGTTGAGCCCATGCAATTGGGCATTACTAAGCTCACTGACGCAGAGAGCAATGCTTATTTTTGCAGCCATTAATATATGAATAATAACTACATTATTTTTTATTCGACACCAATCTTGGTATATATGTAAAAGATAGAACTCAGGGAAATTTGGTATCACTGTATCCATTATAATTTGAATTAATAATTTAATATTGTTCCAAAACTGTGCAAGACAAAAGCATTCCCAGAAAATATGTAATAACGTTCCCTTCTCCCTTTGACACCTCCAGCACCTGTCAGAGGTAGCTTCATACATTCGAGACAATTTTGCAGGAACTAAATACCAACGCATTAATATTTTGCTATAATCTTCCCAATATGTAAGGCTGTGAGATATTTGTTTAGTGATTTTTATAGTTTGATACCAATGGAATAGATCAAAGTTTTTTAATAGGTCTCGTTCCCATAATAAGGCAACTTTTCTCCCCCATTTACATATAAAAGGCTTTTATAGCACATTGAAAGAGGTTTACTCTCCATATTAGGGTTCAAACAGAATTTACCCAACCAAGTCACTAAGGCCATATCTAATTTTGACAGCTTATTTTCTAACCAAAAATTCTTGATCCTTAAATACGAAAATACCTCTGCCTGCAAACTAGGATACAATTTGATCCCTACCTCATTATATAACATATGCACTTTACTAATGCCATTAGTTTCCCAAGTATTCAAATTTAAATCTTGTATAAAGTACTTTATTACCTATAATGGTGCTAAGACTAATAGCTTTACACCTTTTAGCAATTTAGGAGTCCATTTTAACCAATGATAGAGCATTAATTTTGTTGTAGAAAGCATGTTTTTGCCTATTGACCCATTCATTAAGGTCTTACATAAAAGCTTTTCTAGTAAATAGGGTTTAGCGCAAGCTTGTTCCAGTTTTAACCATACTGGTGAATTTAAATGGAAAAGTCATGCCAAAGCATAGGACAACATAGATGCCTGATAATATTTAATAATATTAGGAATGCCCAATCAGCCTTGTAGATATGGAAGCTCTGTAAGCCTAGCTGCCACCCTTGGCGTTTTTGTTTTCCATATATATGAGTTAAACATATGTTGAAATTTTTTTAATACATTTTTTGGCACAGCCATAGGAATAGTTCGAAAAAGATACAATATATGGGGTAAGGCCATCATTTTAATTGTATGTACACACCCTAACCAAGATGTCCCCAAAGCCCCCCAGTTTTTTAGCTGATCTTTTAATTTATGTAATACAGGAATATGATTGTGCTTAATTAAGAGAGAGCTCGTTTTAGTAAGTTTTATCCCCAGGTATGTTAGAAAATCTTTGCGCCAATCGAACGAGTAAGTACCTGCTAATTGATTTATCTCCGCTTTAAGTACACCCAACGGTAACGCCTGGGTTTTTTTAACATTATTTTTATAATAGGAGATCATGCTATATCTTTCCAACAGTTTTACTAAATACGGTAATGATTCTTTAGGTTTTCATACAAATAAAAGTGCATCATCAGCAAAAAGAGCTAATTTTTGTTCCCCAATCGGGGTTTTTAACCCACATATACCAGCATGTTGTTTTATGTGTCTAATCAAGGGCTCTAAGGTTATTATACAAATTAATGGGGAAAGTGGGCATTCGTTGGTGTGTTCCATTTAAGATCTCAAATTTAGAGGCTATAAAACCAGTATTCATAACCTTCGCTGATGGTTTTGAGTATAATGCCATAATATTGTTCACAAAGGATTGTGGGAAATTGTATTTCTGGAGGACATGCTCCATATAACCCCAATTCAAACGATCAAACGCCGTTTCAGCGTCCAAAGCAAGCAAAATCCCTTGGTGATTATTAGTGTTTGCTCATTCGATAAGATTAATATAATGTCTTGTATTATCCTCTACTTGTCTACCTGAAACAAAACCATCTTGCTCCTCTGAAATAAGCCCCAATAGGATCGGTTTTATTCGAGATGCCAATACTTTAGCATATATTTTTTTATCTACATTTAGGAGTGAAATGGGCCTGAGGTTGGCGCATTCTGTTGGTGATTTAACAGGCTTAGGAAGGGTTACTATAAATGCCTCTAACATTTCCGGCGGTATCGCACTTGGTGTTTTAAAGCTATTAAAAAGCTTCGGAAGAAATGGTGTCAAGATCGGTTCCATTTTGATATAATAATCGAAAAACCATCTGGCCCTGGTGCTTTATGTTTGGGAAGAGCCAATATAGCTTTGCTTATTTCATCTTCTGTAAATGGCTCCACCAACATCTGTTGTTGACTCACTGAAATTTTAGGAAGATCTATTTCCTCAAAAATTTCTCTATTTCAAAACTAGAAGGCTGTAATATATTTGAGTCTTCCGTTAAATTATAAAGTTTCCTATAATAACTTGCTAATTCAGCTACAATATCTTTTGGGTTAAGTAATTTACAATTATTAATCAAGATCATATAGAGGATTTTTGTTTGAAGATAATTCGTTTTTAGCATATTAGCTAACATTTTTCCTGCTTTACTGCCGTGAATATAAAATTTCAGTTTTAATGCTCTCATATATTTTTCTGTTTCTGCTAATGCCAATACATTGCGTTCCTTTCTTACTTTTTGACTACCATGCAATCTATTTGGTTTAAGTTTATTTTCCTCTTCCAATTTAGATAGTACCTTAAGTAATCTTAAATGTTCCGCATCCATTTTCTTTTTACTGCTAGCCCCTGATTTTATAAAAAAAAAGCCCCTCATTACAGCCTTTTGTGCCAACCATAACGAGGAGGCTGCTATATCATCCTTGTCATTTTCCTGAAAATATTTAATGAGTGCCTCCTTAGCTTCTAAACATTTTTTATCATCGTCCAACACTGCCTCGTTCATTCTCCACGACCCCATCCCCCGTCCCGGTATTTAGCTTGAAATGTAACTATAACCGGTGAATGGTCTGACCAAGTTCTAAGGCCGATGTGCACTTCTAATATATTATTCAAAGTAGGCTTATCTACTATGCACATATCTAACCTTGAGTATGTCATATGTGCAGAAGAATAAAACGTATACTCTTTACCCGATGGATAGAGACATCGCCAGGTGTCATATAGATCGTAATTATTGATCAATTTCCTTAGTCTCTCACTATTACTAACGGCCAAGGGATGAGGGTTTTTTCTTCTGTTCTAGAAATATCCAGTGTTGGATCTAGAGTTGTGTTATAATCACCACATATTATCAAATATCCCACACGCAATTCCAAAATATTTTTTAATGCTGCCTTTATAAATTTTATCTGGAGGGGCATATATTTGGGGCATATAAAGAGACCAATGTAATTTCAATCCCGTTCAAGGAACCCACTAATATTAATAACTGTCCCGCCTCATCTGTATATTGTATATTTACTTGAAAACCCCAATCTGCATGTACTAAAATTGCTACTCCTTTAGTTTTATTAGATGAATATGCATGAAATTCCTGTGGGTATTGTCTTATTTTTAATCTAATGGCCTCTTGAGATCTGAAGTGTAATCCTGTAAACATAGTACAGCTGCCTTAGATTTCCTCAGTTCCTGATGCACCAACCGTCTCTTATGTGGACTATTTAATCCATTAACATTTATGTTAAATATTCTAAATCTTGTATCCACTTTTTATGTGTTTTTATTTTTCAGTTGCATCTTTCTAACACTTAAAACTTTTACTATATTTGAGCCTAAGTCACTATTAATTACCTGTGCGTTCCTAATATTTATGCTGTGCTTCCGCTTGAGAGAAAGAAAACTAGAGTAACCAGCAATACTCTCTGACTTCAAATAATAAAAAATAAAAAATAAAACACAAGTAGTAAAAAAAAAAAAATCACAACCAAGAAAGAAAAATCACCAATAAAAAACATCAAGTACATATGCACCCTTATTGTAAAGGATAAATTAATGGCCTGTTCAGGGATACCCATATTTCCTGTAACGGCCAGGGGGCGTGAGTAAAACGACCCACTCAATGCGAGGCCAAGCTAGTAGCAAATGTCAAAACCAAAAAAAAGCTATCATACACATTTCCCCTCTCCCCCGCCCCCCCTCCTTCCCTCTCTCTCTCACTTTTTAATTATAATTAATCTATTACTTAATATACCTAATTTTTATATTTTCCTTTTGGTTTTACCCAAGCTATTATTTTAAATTTGTATTTGTAACTGTTACCCAAGGGTTACCCAAGGTTCACTATAAATCTATATTTGTAACTGTTGCATTTATTTACATCAATCTTAATAACGGAGAAAAAAAAACAGACGGGAAGGAGACAGAAAAAAGAAAAAAAAAACATAAACAAAAGAAAACAACGTGAATAGTTGTTATGCTATCCTTCTTGCCCTGGGCAGCCGACTACTACATTTACTCGCTAAGCACAACCCTAATTTGTGTACTATAACATATTGCAGACTATTATTTCTTTATTATTCTTTTCAAGCGCTAGTATTTTGTTCGTCTTGAAACCCTTGAAGCCCCACCACCACTTGCAGGGAGCAAAAGGCCACTAATTTTATGCACATTAAACGGGTGTTGGCATACTACTTAATTTGCTATAGTCAACTTTAATTAAAGTAACGTGAGATCATATCTATTCAAAAAAAAAAAAAATTATAAATAAAAAAAATTAAATTTAAAGCTCTGAATCTCACTTTACAGTTTCTGCAACATCTAAGCTTTTATAACCAGGTGTGCCAGCAACCATCCATTCTGCTTATAGTTTCTTTTCTGCTTTATTTGAATTCCCATTCTGTGTTGTTAACATTCCCCATTCTTTTAATTTGTTCCTTGCTTCTTCTGGTTCTTTTATTACATGTAATGCTCCGTTCCCCCAAATCAACAGTTTAGTCGGGTAGCCACAACGGTATGATATTTTTTGGTCTCTCAATACTTTCATGAACTCCGCAAATTCTCTTCTCCTTGCTATAGTTAATAAGGACAGATCAGCAAAAATCAGTACATCTTTGTAAGGAGCAGGAAGGCTAGGCTCCTTTCTTGCTGACTGCAGCAGCAGCTCTTTAGATTTTGGATAATGGAATTTCGCTATTACATCCCGTGGTTTATCTACTGAAAGGTACTGAGGTCTTGGTAGGCGATGCACACGATCCAGCTCCCATGCGGATTCCTCACAATTTTTTACAATTTTCCCACATAGGCCTTTAATATATTCTGACAGTTCCTCCACACTGACTGACTCCGCTGTTCCTCTTAAACGTATATTGGTGCGACGTGACTGATCTTCAATCACAGCCATTTTATATTTTAACTGCTTATGTTCATCCTCCATGTTTTGTATTTTTTCAATCAGCGCATTATGAGAGGTACATAAATTTTCTGTTTTAACCTCTAATTGCCCTGTGCGCTCACCCTATTCTACCACTTCTTTATGTAGTGTAGTGAAATATTTTTTTTTTAAATCTTCATGCAATGTAATTCTTAAGTTTTGTAACATCTTATGTAGCTTCCTTTCAGAGACCGGTTGTTCCAATAGCTCTTCTTCCTCTATAATTGCTTCTATAGTCTCCTACTCATGTGAGCAGGTGGTTGCACCATCTTGGTCCTGCTTATTACGGTCTATGCCTCCTAAAGGAGGAGTTTATATGCTGTCTCCTCAAGAAACTCTCTGCTTGGAGGAGTATATAAAAGATGCTCTAAGAAAGGGCCACATCCTCTTCATCTGCTGGAGCTGGGTTCTTCTTTGTCTCTAAAAAAGAAGGAGACCTACGCCCTTGCATCGATTATAGGGGTCTAAATAAAATAACGTCTAACCAATCCCCCTTATTTCTGAACTCTTTGACAGGTTAAAAGGTGCCAGAGTATTCACCAAACTCGACCTAGGAAGTGTATATAACCTAGTCAGAATTAAGGAGGGGCATGAGTGGAAAATGGCGTTCAACACCAGAATCGGACATTATGAGTACCTGGTCATGCTGTTTGGTTTGTGCAATGCCCCAGCGGTATTCCAGGATTTTATAAACAATGTCCTTAGAGAATACCTCCACATGTTTGTATTGGTGTATCTAGATGACATTCTTATCTATTCCCCAGACAAGGATACTCATCACGAACATGTGAAAATCGTGTTAAAAACCCTGCTAGAGAACGGCTTATATTATGTGCCATAATAGCAGATCAAACTCAGGCACCTGTGGAGAGACCACTGGACAAACTGTTCGTTGCACCATTATTAAGGACAATGGTACTTGGCTTGTTTCATGATAATCTGACAGCCGGACATCCTGGAATACATAAAACCCTCTCTACCATTTCTAGGAAATTTTGGTGGCCTACGCTTAGGTCTGTATGTAAAAGATTATGTAGGGGCATGTCAAATATGTGCTGTCTCCAAAGCCCCTCATAAATCTCCTCCTGGGTTGTTGCAGCCACTTCCAATACCAGACACTTCATGGACCCAGCTAGCCATGGACTTCATTGTGGATCTCCTCAGTGCAAATGGGTATAACACTATCCTCATGGTTGTGGCTAGATTCTCCAAGATGGCATATATTATACCTCTTAAAAAATTGCCATCTTCTCAAGATCTTGTCCAGATATTCTTGAGAGAAATCTTTCGGTTACATGGGGTACCAAAAAACATCGTCTCTCGACAGATGTACCCAATTTATTTCTAGGTTTTGGCGTGCTTTCTGTAAGTAATTGGGCATAGAACTTTATTTTTCCTCTTCGTATCACCCTCAGACCAATGGTGCAGCGGAGAGGGCCAATCAGTCTTTGGAATCCTATTTACTTTGTTTTATTGATGTCAATCAGTCAAACTGGTCTGAACTCTTGCCCATGGCTGAATTTGACAGAAATAATGAGACTCATGAATCCTCCAATCATAGCTCCTTTTTTGTAAATAATGGTTATCACCCCACTGTATTACCTTCAGATTTTTCAGGCACTGATATTCCTGCTTTGGACGCCCATTTAGCTTCTGTCCATGCCACGTGAGATTCGATGCATATGGCACTACAGACTGCCTCTAAACGTACTAAAGTCCAGGCCGACAAGAGGCGTGGTGTCAATCCTGTCTATCAAGTGGGAGACCGGGTCTGGCTATCCACACGTCATATTAAGCTCAAGGTTCCTTCCATGAAACTGTCTCCTCGATACATAGGGCCTTTCCGTGTCCTTTGACGTATTAACCCCGTGACTTATTCTTTGGCGCTCCCTGTGCACATGAGAATTGCTAATACATTCCATGTGTCTCTGCTTAAGCCTCTCATTTGTAATTGATACACGAAACTGGTCGCTCCTCCTCCGCCCTTGGTGATCGGTGGTCAAGAGGAGTACGAAGTTCACTCTATATTGGATTCCAAGATTTCTAGGGGTGTTTTGTCTTATTTAGTTGACTGGAAGGGATATGGCCCGGAAGAGCGTAGCTGGGTTCCTGCTGACCAGGTACATGCTCCCCGTCTTGTCTGGTCATTTCACAACCACTTTCCTCACAAGCCGGCTCCTTCCCGCCCAGTGGGTGGTCTTAGAGTGGGGGGTACGGTTTACATTCTATACTTTCTGTTTCTTTCTATATTCTATGTAGATGTTACATGGTTCTCCGTGCTGGACAGCACTAGCAGTCGTGACAAGAGCTTTCACAATTGTCATTTGTTAATCTGCCTCATGGATGCCCAACTTAAAAGTATGCAAACGATGGTAGACCCATGTATAGAACAGAAATTGAGAAATGGATTTAGGTTAGGTTTAGGTCCTGGACCATTATGAAGAGGGATAAATATTTGCCCCACTATGGAATTCAGGGTTGGTCATTTTAACATGCAAAAATTTAAGGGAATGAGTAGATAGTTTTAAGTGGAATAGTTTCCATGCTTTGACAGCTGTTAAAAAGGGATTAGTTAGACTCTTGCTTGGAAGTAAGTCATTTGATAATAGAGTAAGGTTGGTGGGGAGTTAGGGAGAGCTAAAAAAAATTCTAAATGAAAATCTGAGGTTCCAGCTCATCCAGCAGTGCTTTTTTAGGAGGTTCCACACCCACAAAAGGAGGTTTTCTTACATCGTACATCGTACAGAATGGTGTAATTGCAGTCCTCCAGTATACAAATTCCATAATGTATTCTAGTAAATGGTGAGCTGTGGCAAGCTAAATCAACTCCAAGAATCAAAGTACATGAAAGAATTGATTGTATCCCACTTTGCCATGAATTACATTGAAGTAAACAGGAGCGAACTGGCTGCATTAAGGTCAGTTCCTGAGTTGTGGTCATCCTAAAGAATAGCTTGGGACCCAGTTGAAGGGACATTCATCCGTTTATACACAGGTTTTGCCTTTGAATCAGACAGATGTCTTATTTTGCAGAAAAAAAAACTGAATCTCTGCCTATCTTTAGTAAACTGATCTGGCAGGTGAATTACATGCCGTGATATGGCACGACACATCTATTTAAAGACTACAAAATAGGCTCTGCATATTTAATCTGCATTGCTTGAATGTGTCTAGGGGGATCTGTGACAGTGTGTATGTATGTCAAGACACGGACTCCCCAAGACCTTTGTATATGTCCTGTGGTATCTAGCACCAAGACATTAGCAGCAGATCCTGCAAGTTGCCTGCATGGATTGGATTTGTTGATCCAGCACATCCCACAGAGACTCAATCGGATTTAGGTCTGGGGAATTTGTCAATTTGTCAACTTTTGTCATGTTTCTCACATCATTCTTGAACAATGTGTGCAGTGTGGCAGGATGCAATACCCTGCTGAAAGAAGCCGCTGCATTCAGGGAACACTATTGCCATGAAAGGGTGTACATGGCCTGCAACAATCACTAGGTAGGTGGAACATGTCAAAATAATATCCACATGAATGCCAGGACCCAAGGTTTCCAAGCAGAACATTACCCAGAGCACAACACTGCATCTGCCTTCTTCCTATAGTACATTATGCTTCCATTTCTTCCCCTGGTAAATGATGCACACACACCCGGGAATCCACCTGATCTAAAAAAAACAGGATTCATCAGACCAGGCAACCTTTTTTCATTGCTCTGTGATCCAGTTCTGACATTCAGGTCCACATTGAAGGCTCTTTCAGCAGTGGCTGAAAAGTGGCTGCTAGACTTGAAAGCAGACCACTGCATTCTCAAGAACAGGAACCATCATCACAGTAGGAGATGTCCAATGAGTAACCAGGACCTGACGTGATCCACACTTACCGGACAAAGAAACTAACCACACTGCATGAATAACAAGATATATAAAACTAAAGTGCCAAATAATTGGTGCTTAAAAAATTATAATAGTACAAAAGTGCAGCTAGTTATCACTGTGGAATCAATCATGATAATTCCACCAATTTATAAACAAACAAACAAAGTGAACAGCGCCCAAAATAGAAATATAAATGTGGATTATATGCTAATTAATCTATAAGTGTGGTAACATGCGCACTTCTCAAAAGTGTGTACTAATGTGACATAACATTTTGAGAAACATATACCCAATAATCTGGAATAGTTGTCACTGCAGAAATGAGAAAGCAAAAACTCTCATAGTATAGTATAGCAATCACATATGTAATAAATAGTAATATTTCCTTAAGGTATCACACTTACATTTTATGAGTCTGTGAAGATAACTGCCACAGGTAATACAGTTTAGGTGTGAAAATGGTGGTTCCAGACAGGGTAGACAGCATCTTTATGCTCAGTAGTAAAAATCAGGAGAAGGCAACACCAGTTAAGGTAAAATAAGTAACATTAAATTTTATAACAACCTTACATTAAAGTTATTTTAGTGCCACGGTTCACAATCCACAAAAGTAGATTAAGCACAATGCGTTTCAACACTACTTGCATTTTCCTCAGGTGCGCATAAAGTCCCATATTGAATTTCTAACTTTTTTTTTTTAAATGATGCCAAATCGAGCGCCTAAACACACCCCTTTCCTACCTGTTTGTAAATCCTTGTCAGGTAAATCCTATTGAACCCTTTGTGCCCACCATCTTAGTGCTCAAGAGGGTGAGTTCTGTCATTTCTGCTTCCAGCTGCCATATTTGCTTGGTGCTTGCGTTCCACCACCCCAGTGGATATCTTGTGGCCCATTTTCTGGTTTCATTCAAAAACAAAGTGTCAGCGCTATATATGATAACCTTGCATTTAGGCAATCTATAAAAAATGTGGAAATCAACAACTTATCTCTGTGAATTAGTGGTATATATATATATATTAACACCTATATTTCACAATAAGTTAGATCATACACATAGAAAAATATTAAAACTTGCTTAAGAGTCCAA